ATGATTTTAAAAATGTCATGGTCTCTTTTTAATGGTTTCTTAAGTTTAAACACAAGCGAAATATTTATTTAGTTTTAAATAGGCGAACTTAAGTATCTAATTTTATATTATTAGCTGAAATTGACTTACATCTCTCAAAAATATGCATAATACAAACTAAATTTCGATATCCTCCACTATACTCACAGTTATTGTCAATAATCAATATTTTATGAACATTAGTGTTGATACCATCATGCTCAAAAATATGCATAATACAAACTAAATTTCGATATCCTCTACTATACTCACAGTTATTGTCAATAATCAATATTTTATGAACATTAGTGTTGATACCATCATGGGTAACATTATTAAGATAAGAAAATCCTTAATAGTTTATGGGCTTGATAGCATACTTCATACATAACCAAAAGTTTAAAATGGAATTGATTACTGTTGTCAGTATAATGTATCTGAAAAGTATTTTGAAAAAAATGTGAATTAATATGAGCCCTGAAATAACTAAATTCCTTATAAAATAGAAGGTGTTAATAATTTATTACTTTTCTCAGGTGGAAAAACAACACTATGGTGGTATTTTTTTGAATGTTTCAAACCTATTGTTACATACCTAAAACAATTGAAATTTGTAAGTAAAATATATAAACTATTATCTAACCAAGTGAGTTTCTTTTGCCAATATTTATGTGCCGAGTGTTTGAAAGTAAAAATCTTCTTTGTTTTAGAGTTGTTACCTATGGGAAAATTTGACAACAAATTTTATGGTTCCATCTGTACCTCACAATGAGTTATTTTCAAAACATTGTGTTTTCTTTCAGGATGGCATTATCTTCTTCACTTCTAATGAAAATAAAGGCCAATTAAATCATCTAAATTCAGAAGAAAACCAAACTATTATTTTTTTCTGTTGGTCTCTTACATGGTGAATGTGGGTTGAGATAAACTTTTAGCATATTATGCTTCCCGAAAAATATAAGTTCCTCATGAGTGACTGATTTATATTCAAACTATTCTGAGTTGGCAAAGATAATATACTACATTAGTTACATGAGAAAAATAACATAGCCAAATAAAAAGATGATCTGCTTTGGTGAAAGCAATGAAAAGCAAGTTATGAAATCAAATGAAATAATGTATAGCATAATATTGTATATGTACATATGGTACAAGGCTTATGAAAATACAGGGTTATTTCTTATATCTTTGTGCTGATGGTATCAAGGAAGTAGTGGGTAAATAACTGTGTTCATATATAAAACCCAAAAGGCTGGAGATGACTTCCATGTTTAAGCACATTTCTCAGACAATCTTTCATTGTGCTTCTTGCCAAAAAGCAGTAGTCTCTGAAAGTCAGACACAAGCAAAGTTTCATGAAAGAAAGGTTTGGAAAATCTATTGCCTTAAGTATAGTTTTATGTATTTTCTTCCCACATACAGGAATATATAAGTAGATCATTATAAAACAAATAGACTTGAAACTTAGCTCTTGATAGTCAATTGTCAGTTTTAAATATTTATCTGGAAATCAAGGGTTATAATAATGTGAAATTGAAGTCATCAAAAAGTTAAAACACACACATATCCATTTGTTATTTTACTATGTGTTTATTTTTAAACATACGGACAAGCAGATCATTAGATTAGTACATAGTCATTACTGTAATCCATCTTGCCATGAAAATACTAACTTCACATCATTAGCTAATTTTCCTTTGTATTTCAACAGAAACCTTCCTAACCCAGGCCACTACTGCTCCTCAACAAACTCTCAGAATTACGACTGACTTATACTTTGTGACCAAACTGCACTACTTTTGGTCCTGGAAATGGTTAAGGCACTGCATTCTTTCTCATGTTTCCCCCCACTGAAACACCTGCTATTTTAGCCATGCTTCAGTAAAACTCCTCGCCGAGTGCAACTCCAGTGGCACCACCTCCATGAACTATTTCCTCATCAACCAAACATGAACAGCCTCTGCCTTCCTTAACTTCTATTTTCCTTTGAATCAGTAATGAACTTTCATTATAATTATTTGAGTAAGTGCCTTAATCCTCCTACTAAATCATAAACTTTGATGGAAAAGAAAGTATGTCTTATGAACTTTAAAAGCTTGTTTTGCACATAGCTGGGATTCCATATTTATTCACTAAATACATAAATTTTGTTTTAAGAATCGTTTCTTCAAACCACA